ACCCGTCGTAGCCTTGCCAGCTCTAGAATCAACGTTTTGTTTCTTGGGGAGGGGAGATTCTACGGCCTTTCAGAGGAACTGTCACCGAGTGAACGTTCGTGCCAGGCTTTGACGAGGAAGACTGAGAAAGCTGATGGCAGCAACGTGCGGCCGCCTCCTGCCTCCCTCTCGGTGTTCTCGTGACTCGCTTGGCGATTGCCTCATCTCTTCTCCTCCCCTCCCCACCTCCCTCCTCCTCCTGCCCCTCCCGTCCTCCCGCCGCCCTCGCCGCCCCCTGCCGCGCCGACGCCGGCTACAGGAGCAGGAGAAGGAGCTCCTCGCGGACCTGCCGGAAGTGGAGAGCTTCTTGAAGACGTTCACCTTCCCAGAGCAGGAGCTCCAGGGAGGTCCCAGGCCCCCTCCCAGAGATCCGACGCTCCAATAAAATTGGGGCGGGTGGTTTTTGGCCACTTTCGGCCTCCTGGGGGCCCTTGCTGCATGACCGTCAAAAAACGACTCGGGACGAAATAACCGGCCGAATGGGATTGGTCCAGACCTCCGGGCCCAAGCATCGAAAAAATTGGAGCAGCTGGATGTTTTTGCTTGCGTGTCGGATCAAATCTGATTTGGTCACAGCGGCGGCGAGCGCGCAGAGGCGCTGCCAGGCGGATTGCATAGAAGCAGGTGGGAGGCACAAGAGGCTGGCCACGCACAGGGGGGGTGCAGGGGGAGGGGGGAAGGATTCTCAGAAGCACCCCTACTCCTTAGAAGGCGAGGGCCTTCTCTATAAATGTAGGGCCGGCGCCTTCTAAGAAGCGGCCTCCTTCTAAGAAGCCTTCGCCCCTCCCCCTACCTGCTTGTACGCGCCGTCAAAAGTTGTCAAAAACATGAGGATGTGGGGAATGTCCTGGGGGCAACCCTTGCCAGACCACCGCTGGGGATCTTCTCGAGCCAATCGATCCGACTCAAAAAGGAATTACGATTCGATTCCGATCCAGCTTCCCGTTCCCAACTGCCGAGCCTATGTGGCGATCGCCGACGTGGGCCCCGGTACCCAAAGATCCGGCTGGATCTCGATGTCGATCTGGCTGGCCCCTGCTCGGCCGGCCCCAGGGAACCGTGGGTCCGTGTCATTGAAAGATCACGACGTCGGAGGGGAGTGCACGCAGGCCTCCGGCGGATTGAATTCTTCAAGCCCAGCGGGTTTCCCAGGTTTCGGCGGCTGGGCTTAGGTCGGGCGTGTCCCTCTACAGGAGGAATATCCAAAAATAGTGGAAAAAAGTCAGGGGGGGATTTTTTGAGTATTGTTGACCAGTTTCGAATCTGTTTTAACATTTCTTTATTTCTCGTCCAAAATATGCCTGTAGGGGGACATGCCCGACCTAAGTCTAGGCGACTGCGGCGCCTTGCGTGGACACCTCGGAGGAAGCAATGGGGACCCATGACGGCGGCTGCGAACGGTCGACGAAGTATGCTAAACATTGCAGGCATTCCGCCCTATACGACGACTCCGAATTGAGAGCCGCAGAGATGCTCTGCGCAAGCGCGGGCGGCGGTTCAACGGCAGCTCCTCCGACCCCACTTCCGATCGCGGCTCCCATTGAACTGGTTTCGGTGTCTGCCGAGTACGCAGCGGACGGAACTGCTCCGCTTGACGGTACTGCGACAGACATCATGTCTATTGTCTGTGAGGCCGCCGAACCAACAGCTTCGTTTATTTCACCCTTGATGTCCGTCGGCTCTCCTTAGCTGCCCCGCCAGCTCTTGGACACAGCCACGGTCTCAGTAAGGATTCGTTTTCGGTTCGGGTCTCAGACCAGAATGCCGCCGAGATTAAGTCCACCACGGGTGAAGGAGTTGCGGATGCTAGTGAAACCCAGACTGAGATTGGTGTGATTGTTGCTGACGGAAGTGGAGAATCCGTGATCACCGCCGCTTCTAATGTCGACTCCCGACATGGCCACCCCGGTTGTGTTTGCGGGTCCGATTCAAGCGCTGTCGCCGGGGTCCCACTGTTCCGACGAGCAGCGGTACGCCTATTCTCGCAGCATCTCCGATTCTGGCATCTGGGTAAAAGTTTCGATGGATTCGGTTGGGAGAGTTGTTGTTCAACTGCAGGCTCGCCTCGGAATATGGCGAGCAGGATGCGCTCATGGTTGTAACTTTCGCCGACGCGATTGCAGCAGAGTTTGGCGATGCAGTTAACTGCGATCAGCAGGAGAAGGCCACTGAGTTGGATTTTCAGCCATCGGATGCCCTTAACATGGCCACAGTCGACCGCCCGCCAGATGCTGATTCAGCCCCGAGTGTGAACAACACCACGACCCTAGCCGAGAACGACATTAGTTTTTCATGCCCAATTGTTCCCCAAACGATACATTGCAGCATTCATGTGCTCGCATTCTTTCTCTCGTGAGGGTCGGTTCTGACAAATCGCCCCAGCCGTCGAGCGGCCACACGAAGGCGGGGGCTCCACAATCTGACCCCGAGAAACGTTCCGCCCACCGGGAGAAAAAAACGCTTCCTCCTCCTCCTCCTCCTCCTCCTCTCCTCCTCCTCCTCCTCCTCCTCCTCCTCCTCCTCCTCCTCCTCCCTCCTCCTCCTCCTCCTCCTCCTCCTCCTCCTCCTCCCCTCTCTCCTCCTCCTCCCTCCTCCTCCTCCTCCTCCTCCTCCTCCTCCTCCTCCTCCTCCTCCTCTCTCCTCCTCCTCCTCCTACTCCTCCTCCTCCTCCTCCTCCTCCTCCTCCTCCTCCTCCTCCTCCTCCTCCTCCTCCTCCTCCTCCTCCTCCTCCTCCTCCTCCTCCTCCTCCTCCTCCTCCTCCTCCTCCTCCTCCTCCTCCTCTCCTCCTCACTCCTCCTCCTCCTCCTCCTCCTCCTCCTCCCTCCTCCTCCCGCACAGGAGGCATCTGACGACCCCATGGAGCGGCGACCCGACCTCGACTCGGGCCTGGAAGCGCAGCTCCCCGCGGAGGATGGCAGAGCCACACCCGTTGCCCGCCCGCTCATCCTTCCATCTCTCCTCGTCCTCATCATCTGCCTTGTCCCCCTACTCCTCTTGCACCTCATCCTCCCCCCCCCTCTCCTTCTCCATCCCTCTTCCTTGATAAAGAACCCATCGCTGTTGCACCACCAGGCGTGTCGTTAGGGGGGGGCAGGCGGCCTTCCTGCAGCTGCCTCCTCCTCCCCCTCCGCCTGCTCCTTCTTCATCCCCCTTCCTTGATACACGTGTACAGAACCTCTCCCTATCGCACCACCATGCGTAGGGGAGAAGAGGCGGCCCTCCTCTTCCCCCCCCCCGCCCCCACCTTCTCCATCCTTACCCCATTGATAAAGAACTCCTCCCTGCCGCACGCCCAGGCGTGTCGTTAGGGCGGACCGGGCGATTCACCCGAGACGCCATCACCGCGATAGGCATGATATGCCCAGCAACTACACGGATGAACGACGAATCGTTTCCGAAATGGCGTTCTCGCCGCGCACATTCGTGTCAGAAAACAACAGTTGCACAGATGGAGAGCGGTTGGCTTTCAAAATGGGTTTCTCGCTTCGGCGCTGCGCGCGCACATTCGTTTGAAAATTCAACAGTTGCGTGTTGGAGGGCGGCTGGTTTTCAAACTGTGGTTCTAGCTTGAAACGTCTTTGTCCAGTACCACCACGAAAACAGCGTGGAATAGTTGCATGGATGGAACGAGGCTTCTTGTCAAAGTGGTCCCTCGCTTGAGACTACTTTGGGACTCACGGCCACAGGTCTAACATTGTGTTTCGGCTACATGGATGGGACGGTTTCCTCTCAAAGCGGGGTTGTTGTTGGGCATTGCTTTGAGTTGTGTGACCCCATTCTGTCGCACACGTGATGTCTCGAAGGATGGACGGCATGTGGTTTCAAAGCTGAATTTCCGCCTGAATTGCGGGTCCATGGGGCGTTCGTATCCCAGGGCGGGGATGGGCGTTTGGCGCAATGAAAAGAATTTCTGTAGGGATTCATAAGGCGGGGCCTTGGTGCGGAAGAGTATATTGTTGCATGGTTCGTACATGTTGCGTCCACTCTGGTCCTCATCCCTCCTCGTCGTCGTCCTGCCTCGTCCTACTCCTATTCCTCATCCTCCCCGCTCCTCATCCTGCACATTGCCCTCCTCCATATGCCTCATCCTCCCCCTCCTCCTCCTCCTCCGTCCTTCACTGTGATAAGTGACTCCTCCCTGATGCGCTACCAAGCGCGTGCTTAGGCCGGGGGCCTCCCGGATGCTTCTTCTGGGGACCCCCCCCAGGCTGCTCCCGGGGGGGGGCCCAAAGTTCTGCAGCGGGGGGACTGAGGTGGCCCAGCACTCGTTCCGGCCAGCACGAAGAGGGGGGGGGGGGGCCAGTTTGAGGCTCTGGGTTCGGGAAGGTCTTCTGTTTTTTCTGCCTCTTGGGGGCCGTCAAAAAGGGATGCAGGGTGAAAGTCTGCGCCAGATGGACCCTGGGAGGGGTCCAGGGACCGATGTTGAACGGATTTGGCCTCGTCCTCCCCTCCTTGCCGATGTCCTGGGGGTCCCTCCCAGTCAGTTCAGGCCCGCCGGCCGCCTCCGACCCCAGACGGTGCGGTGACCCCACCGCGTGGCGAGTCCGTGGGGATTCGGGGCCACCGCACGGTTATGGGACTCGTGTCGTTCTCCGAGGATGTTCAGGAGCGAAAGAAGGACGTACATGTACATGAATCCACGCTGGTTTCGAGAGTTCGTATTGCGCGAATGTTCGTATCGCGCGGCAGGTCTCGCGGGTCAAGGGGCCGTGTTCATGTACATAGCTGGGCGCGTACGTCCTTTGTGTGCTCCCTAGATGTGTCGGGCGACTGGGGCACCCAGAGTCCCAAGGCCGTGTGGTAGCGGTCAGTTCGGTGACGTCTTTGCGGAGTTGGAGTTCACCGCGCGGTCTGTCACCGCACGGTTTCGGGACCTCAACGGGGGTGGGAGCAGGAGGAGCACACTTTCTCGCGTTCGGAAAAAACGCGACAGAAGGCATGGTCGGCCTCCTGGGGCCTTCACCAGGACCCAGGAGCGTCAAAACACTATTCGGGATGAACCGGTCCAGGGGAAGGGGCCAGAGTTCTCGAGGTCTGCATTGCGAAAAGAATAAATACCCTGGCAAAGGACCCAACCATATGCAGCTGTGAGCACCGCAGCTGTGAGTCTGGTCTTCGGTGGATTTCCCCATGGGGCCACGAAACGCGCGAGGGGCATGCCGAACTGGGGGGGGGGGCATGCGGACAGTGTAATTAGGGCCTTCGGCTGAGCTCCCTATGGGGCCACACAACGCGTGAGGTGTGTGTGTGTGTGTGCCAAAACGGACGTGACGTCCATATGCAAACGCTCCCTCTGGGGCCTTCGGTGGAGCTCCCTATGGAGCCACAAAACGTGTAAGAGGTGTGCCGAAACATGCGTGACGTCCACATGCGAACGCTCCGTCTGGCCCTCTGTGGAGCTCCCTATGGGGCCACGAAATGCGTGAGGCGTGTGCCGAAAAATGCGTGACGCCCGCATGCGAGCGCTCCTTCTGGCCCTCTGTGGAGCTCCCTATGGGGCCACGAAATGCGTGAGGCGTGTGCCGAAACATGCGTGACGCCCACATGCGAACGCTCCTTCTGGGGCCCTCGATTGAGCTCCCTATGAGGCCACGAAATGTGTGAGGGATGTGCCGAAACGGGCGTAACGCCCACATGCGAACGCTCCCTCTTGAGGTCTTCGGTGGAGCTCCCTACGGCGCCACGAAGCGCGTAAGGTGTGTGCCAAAACATGGGCATGCGATGGGCAGAGGTAGTGATGGGAGGAGGGAGGAGGGAGGAGGAGGAGGAGGAGAGGAGGTGACGCGGGGCGCTGTCTCTGCAAAGGACCCAACACCACAGGAGGGTTGGGACAAATTCACGACGTCGGAGTCCTGGGAGGGAGGAGTAGAAGGAGGGGATGAAATTCGCAAGACGTCTAGAGTGGTTTTGATGATGGTGCGGGGGAGGAAGAGAGAGAGAGAGAGGGGACGAAGAGGCTGAGGGGGGAAGAGGATAAGAAGGGAGGATATGGAGGAGGATCAGAAGGAGGAGGAAGAGGACGAGCACGAGAAGCAGCAGGACATCGAGGAGCGAGGAGGCGGAACGGGGAATGGGAGAGAAAGGTACGGAGGATGAGGGTAGGAGGACGAAGACGACTAGGGAAGATGACGGGGGTAGAAGGAGGAGGAGGAGGAGGAGGAGGAGGAGGAGAAGTTGAGTAGAGCTAAGGGTCAGAGATCGCCCTCCTTTGCCCCAACACCGCAAGTGTGGCGTCAAAGGGAGCGCGTCAACGTCAACATCCACTTCTCCTCTTCCTCCTCCTCAAGGAGGAGGAGGAGGAGGAGGAGGAGGGCTTCGCTGGAGGTCGCTAATATCCACGACGTGGCAACGGGCTCAGTCCTGCGAAACTCCAGGCGGCGGCCCATGGAGAGCGGCTTACCGAATGATCATACTTTCCTCGCGTGTCATTGTGAGCCTGGAAGAACCCTCACATAATTTCGAACGACTTCTTGCTGGGGGCAGAATTCATTACTTGAGTAAGTGGCGTGTGGGGTCGTCCGTGGTGGGCTTACCACTCGCAACGCAAAAGTGCAGCCGTCGTTGGGGCCAGAAATGCAAAACGCACGAGGGATGCAACTCCTCCTCCCCCCCCTCCAACGTCACCGCCCTGCTGGCCCGCCGCAGCCCCTCCAACCCCGCAAGGCTGGAAAGGCCTGACAGGGCTTCTGCGCCTTCTGCGACACAGAAATCTGCCACCGCAGCGACGGGCGCGATCTGCAGTCAGAGAGCAGACCAATCTCCTCTCCGGAGCTGACCACACAGTGCCAGAGCGAAAGCCACATTCGACCGCGAGAGGTCAGACCTCTTCGCGGCCTCTCGGTCTCCCGGCGGGCCACGGCGCGTCGCGGAAGGCCTCGACCATGGCCGGAGCTGTCCGCCGCCGAACAGACGCCGCGGCGCAGCCATCAGAGTCGATGTCGAGTCGGGGAAACGTAACACGCGAGTACGCCAGAACTCGCGTTGGCCTACGCTTCTTGACGAGTCCGCCTTGGATTTTGACGGTCCTGCATTCGTGGGATGTTTGCAGCGGGAGCTCGCGCCAAATTTTAGACTGGGTCTCGCCATTCTCTTGATGGCCTCATCAGGCCAACACGAGCCCCGTACCCGAGTCTTACGGCTCTCCTATCGAGGGGCTTCGCTTCGCCCGGAGGGTACCCGCACATCTGTTACCGACTGTGCATCGGCGCTCGGGTAGGGTGAGGGCGGGGTCCAGGCACGTGAGTGTGTGGGGCGCGGCGGTAGGCCCGCGAGCCAGAGAGCAGGATTAGCTTCGCACCCAGCCTGCAGCCTGCCGCCCAGGTGCCCCGATGCAGCGCAAGTTGGATCGCCGTTGCTGCACTCGCCATGAAGGAAGCGCCCTCCACGGGCCCCGAGACTGTCAGAAAACGACTCAGGATGAAGAATTGGTCCTGGGGGAAGGCCCCGGGGTCCAGGACCCATTTCCCTCAGGACACGCTTCCTTCACTTGGATGCATCAGCATCCCCTAGTGCCGCGGCAGAGCGACCCCTGCGGTGCTCGGCCGCGCCTGACACACCGCAGGTTCGCAAGGCGCAGCCCTGAGAGCCCGATGCCTCTCCTCGCGGTGCCGCTGGCCTCCCGCCGCCACCGCGGCGAGCGGGCCGGCCCCAAGCAGACGCATCGCGCGTGAGCAACCGATCGATTTCGGCCGACACCCACCCCCGTCCTGCAGGTCCTCTCCGTGCAAGTCACTACGGCGCGCCCAGGGAGGAAGGTTTGACGAGGTTCTCGAGCATCGAGGTGTCCAAGGGTCTGGACTGTGCTTGGAGATTGTCCTGCGTCGGGATGCCTTCCAGCAGCTGCGTCTTGCCAAGGGCGTTCTGGGAGTGCCCGGATCGTGCCGAACGGCCGCGGGAGACCGGAGCCGTGACCCGAAGAGCCATTCGCCCAGGGGCAAAGGCAGAGGGGGTGAGCCTTCTCAGAAGGCTCAGAGGGCCTCCGTCCGTCGAAGGAGCTTTCTGAGCCTTCTCCGAGGCCACAGAGGGCTCCTCAGGAGGCCGGAGGGCTGGGAGGAGGGAGAGAGGGAGGGAGGGAGGGAGGGAGGGAGGGAGGGAGGGAGGGAGGGAGGAGGAGGAGGAGGAGGAGGAGGAGGAGGAGGAGGAGGAGCAAGTGGAAGAGGAGGAGGAGGTGGAGGAGGAGGTCGGAGGATGAGGAGGAAGAGGAGGAGGATGAGGAGGAGGAGGAGATGGAAGTGGAGGAGGAGGAAGAGGAGGAGGAGGAGGACCAGTGTAAACCCAAGCGTCATCAACGATGTTGGGATAAACCCTCCCTCCAAGCTCCCTGTTCATAGGCCCCTTATGATGGTTCATTTCCATCGAGGGAGGGAGTTGCCTCGTTGGAGAAACCTCTTGAAGACCCTGAAGCATGTATAAGTATTGCTGTCGGGATTCCAACGCCACGGATCAACCTGACTGTTGCGTCTTGACGATCCTAAATCGCACAAGAACGCCAATCCTGGGACTCCAACACTGCGAATCAACGTAACTGTCGCACCCGCATAGTCCTGAATCCTTCCAAAACACAATTTCTGGTACGTTGGTCATGGGAATCCGTGGAACGCTTGCATTGCTTATAAACGAATACGCGCGGCGCTAAGGCCAGAGCCACATATTATAAAGGAACTGCCCTCAGTCCGTGAAATTCTTGCAAATGTTTGAAGCAAATGTGCGCATTTTGAAAACCACTCGCCCTCATTCCGTGAAACTCTTGCACACTTTCAAAACGAGTGTGCGCGGCGTAAGGTAAGAGCCACATGTTGAAAACCAGTCGCCCTCAATATGTGAAGCTCTTGCAGTTGTATATATATATATATATATAATATATTATATATATATATATATATATATATATATAGTTATACATATATGCATATGTATAAGAAAGAACCCCCCCCCCCCCCCAAAAAAAAAAAAAAAAAAAAAAACAAAAAACGAATATGCGCAGCGCTAGGGCGAGTGCCACAGCTTGAAAACGGCCCGACCTCAATATGTGAAACTGTTGCCAACGTTGAAGCTTCAGAGTCACAAATGGTGAGGAAGTCTCAGGCGAAACGCCTGGCCCGCCCTAAAAACTGGCCTCGCGGTGCGACAGGAAGAAGTTATTTATAAGGAAAAGGAATGGAGGAGGGGAGGAGGAGGAGGAGGAGGAGGAGGAGGAGGAGGAGAAGGGAGGAGAAGGAGGAGGGAGAAGAAGGGAGGAGGGGAGGAGGAGGAGGAGGAGGAGGAGGAGAGAGCAGGAAGAGGGAGGAGGAGGAGGAGGGAGGAGGAGGGAGGGAAGGAGGGGGGGAGGGAGGGAGGGAGGGAGGAGGAGGAGGAGGAGAAGGAGGAGGGCCTCTACGAAGCCCCGCCGCCTGCTGAGAAGGCCAGGCCGACGACGACGAAGACGACGGGGCGGAGGAGGCGCGGGGCCGAGGAGCTGCCCTACACCACCGTGGAGCTGCTCGGGAACCACAACGGCGAGCCCGGCGTGGCGCGCCCGCCCCCGTTCCTGGGGGGGCGTCGCAGAGGGCTAGAACCACGACGCTCGTTCTACTGGCCTCGTCCTCCGCCCGCTCGTTTTCCCCTCCATCCTCCTCGGGAGATCGATCGCTCCGCCAGCCATGCATCGCTCTATGGTCAGGAACTCTGGCTCAGCGCGAAGCTCCGCCTCGGAGCCGTCTGGGGGTCTGAGGTAGCCCAGCACTGGTTCCGGCCAGCAGTCAGGGGGGGTAGGTTCGAGGTTTCGGGTTCGGGAAGGTTTTGCATATTCGTGTTGCCTTTGGGGAACACTTTCGAACCCCAGGACCGTCAAAAACGGATCCAGGGTGAGAAATTGCATTCCATGGACCCTGGGAGGGGTCTGGGGACCGACTTTGACAGGATCTGACGACGGGAGAAGTTTGGTAGTTTCGGCCTCTGGGGGGCCCTCGCCGGCCCCAGAACCGTCAAAACAGATTCTAGGCGCTTCGCTTAAACCCCACCAGTCCGTTCAGATGCGATGCCCAGGCGATTTGCCCTGATCTGGGAGGTCTCGTGCAGGAGCATGCAATGGAATAGCGTGCTGGGGAAGCCGTCGTACCCCAAGAGGAGAAGAATGGGGGGGGAATCAGGAGGATGAGGGGGAGGGGGAGGGGGAGATGAAAAAGGAGGGAGGAGGAGGAAGAGGAACAGGCAGAGGAGCAGGAGGAGGAGGAGGAAGGCAAGCAAATGGCCAGATGGATGCCTCTCGGAGTCTCTTCAGATGTCTCTTGACAGTTTCTTGGAGTCATCTTAGACGTCTCGGAGGCCTCTTGGCTGTCCTGGGGGCCTCTTGGAGCGTCTTGGGTGCCTCGGGGGAGCCTCTCAGGGCCTCTTGAGGATCTCTTGGAAGCCTCTTGGGGACTTCTCGGGGGCCTCTTGCGGCCTCCTGGGCGCCCCTTGGGGCCCTCTTGGGGCACTCTTGGGGCACTCTTGGAAGCCTTGGGGGCCATCTTGGAGGAGATCGATCACAGAAGGGGGGGCCCTAAGGCCAAAATGGACCGAAAACCTAAGTAGAATCAATGATTGTTGCCTTCTAGCCGATGCCTTCTTGGAAGCTCCAACCGACCAGGTCCAGGGGAGGGGGTAGGGAGAGGGGTAATAAACCCCTCCCCGAAGGGGAAGAAGGAGGGGTGGAAGATGATACGCTCTAAACCACTCACGCCCTAAAGGGCTCGTGGGACTCAGGACGAAAAAACGGTCCCGTGGAATGGGTCGAGACCTCTGGGGGTCACGTCTTGTAAAGAGAACAACATAAAGAGAATACAAAGACAAACAAAAAAACAACAATAATAATAACAATAACGACAACAACAAATACTACTACTACTACTACTACTACTACTACTACTACTACTACTACTACTACTACTACGACAACTACGACTACTACTACCACTAGTACTACTACTACTACTACTACTACTACTACTACTACTACTACTACTACTACTACTACTACTACTACTACTACTACTACTACTACTACTACTACTACTACTACTACTACTACTACTACTACTACTACTACTACTACTACTACCTACTACTACTACTACTACTATACTACTACTACTACTACTACTACTACTACTACTACTACTACTACTACTACTACTACTACTACTACTACTACTACTACTACTACTACTACTACTACTACTACTACTACTACTACTACTACTACTACTACTACTACTACTACTACTACACTACTACTACTACTACTACTACTACTACTACTACTACTACTACTACTACTACTACTACTACTACTACTACTACTACTACACAACAACAACAACAACAACAACAACAACAACAACAACAGCCACAACAACAACAACAAAAAAACAAAAACAACAACAAAACAACAAGCAAAACGTCGGGGGTCTAGGGAGGGGGGTAACGATGATAGGGGGTGGATGTCATGGCCGGGGCCATAATATCTCCCAGAACTCGATGGCCCCCTCTTCTCTCTCTCTCTCTCTCTCTCTCTCTCTCTCTATATACATATATATAGAGAGAGATGTATATATATATATATATATATAATATATATATATATATATATATATGTGCACGCTCCCATGCCCCCCCCCCCCCCTCCCGTCCGCGCACGTGCTTCGGACCATCATGCGCGAACATGCCTTTTCGCGGCCTCCATCTTGGGCGCACCCGGCCCCTCCGCGGCGGCGCGGAGGCGTTCGGGATGTTTTGGCATGTTCGTTGCACGTCTCCTGCGTGCTCCCAGGTTTGCAGATCTTGGGGCTCCTGCGAAGGCTTCTGCAATCTTCGAACGCTCTTGAGAGCTTTTCTGTCCACCCAGAGACCTCCAGGGGCCCAACCCTCTGGCGACTCTGGAGCTCTGTTGACGCTGCTGTTTCTGTTTCCCCCGCGACGGCGGGCTCTTGAGCTCTTCTGTGCACCCAGAGGCCTCCAGGGGCCCAGCCCTCTGGCGACTCTGGAGCTCTGTTGACGCTGCTGTTTGTGTTTCCCCCGCGACGGCGGGCTTCTGCACCTCCTCTCTATCCGGAGGCCGCCTCCCAGCCCTGGGGCCGCCACGCAGCGATTCGGAGGAGGAGGGGAAGGGATAGGCGGAGGAGGAGGAGGAGGAGGGGGGAAAGATGAAGAGGATGAGAGGAGGAGGAGGAGGAGGAGGCGGAGGAGGCGGAAGGAGGATAGGCGGAGGAGGAGGATAGGTGGAGGAGGAGGAGGAGGAGGAGGCGGAGGAGGCGGAGGAGGAGGAGGAGAAAGATGAAGAGGGGGCATGAGGAGGAAAGACGGATCAAGGAGAGATGGAGACAAGGAGAGAGGGAGGACGAGGGTGGGATGAAGGGAAATCGAGAGAAGGAGGAGGAGATGGAGGAGGAGGAGCACTCAGGAGGAGGAGGAGGGGGTGGAGCAGCAGCAGGAAGAGCAGGAGGAGGCGCATGAGGAGCTCTGGCGAGAGCCGCGGGGGCTGATGGGGGCAGGTCGGCAAGCTGAAGTTCTGCTGCCGGGTAGTCGAGAAGGGCCACAAGGACCAGCGCGAGGAGGACGAGGCGCCAGCCTCCCTCGAGGATCGATGAACCGATGCTTTCGGAACGTCTCGGGCGTTACTCCTTATCGCCATCGAGTCTTACTCCTTATCGCCATCGACTGTTGCTCCATATCGCCATCGGTCCGTTGCTGAAGAAAAACCGAGCCCCACCCAAACAAAAAATCGTTGTTGGCCCTTGAGGAGGCGACTCGAGGTCTTCCAGGACCTCTGGGGATCTCCAGTGGCCTCTGGAGGCATCCTGAGTGTTCATCTTCATTATCATCATTATCATCATCAGCAGCATCATCAGCATCATCATCAGCATCATTATCATAATCGTCTTCATCAGCATTATCATTATCGTCATCGTCATCGTCATCGGCAGCATCGTCATCATCATCATCATCATCAGCAGCAGCAGCAGCATCACTATCAGCAGCAGCATCAGCATCAACATCAGCATCAGCATCAGCATCAGCATCAGCACCACCATCATCGTCAGCCTCCTTGGCATCATCTTCATACTCATCTTAATCGTCATCATCATCGTCATCATTATCGTCATCATCATCGTCATCATCATCAGCAGCAGCATCATTATCATCCTCGTCGTCGTCATGATGATCGTCATCACCATCATCATCATCGTCATCATCATCATCATCACCATCATCATCATCATCATCATCATCATCATCATCATCGTCATCATCATCATCCTGCCCGCACCTGCGGCCGCCCTTCCTGTCCTCCCCCCTGCTCGGCGGCGACGACCAGCCCGCAGCGCCGGAGGGCCCACCAGCACGGAAAGCGACGTTTCTGGTTCGGCGAGCGGGCGAAGAGCAGCGTAGCACGTGAGGCGTTCCAGAGAGAGCCGTGCCCTCGAGGATCGAAGGAGTTGCCGTCTCTTCCTCGGCGGAAGGCCGGCGGAAGCTGGCGGAAGTAAAATTGTTTCGGTTGCGCCGCGGTTTCAGCGGAGTTGCCCCCGCGAAACTTCCTTGGGAATGGGAGTAGCTTCCAAGAGGGAGTAGAACTAGGCCGCTTCCGCTGGCGGAAGCGGGCGGAGGTAAACGATGCGCCCCCAAGAGGTGACAGTATGCCGCAGATTGCTCCGCGATTGGAGGCGCCTGTCCCAGGGCGAATCCAGGGCAGCAACCAAACGCGACCAGGAACAAAAATCGGCCAGGTTGAGTTCGGCCATGTAGACTAAACCAGGCCGAACTCGGCCGGCTGATCTCGGCCGAGTTCCGCCCGGCTGGTTTCAGCCTGACCGAATTTCGCTTGGCCGAGCATTCCCTTTGTCTGAAGGGTTTCTACCCCCACTTGCCACCGTAGAGGCATGAACTGCCCAGCCGCCCTGTGACAGGCGCCCCCAAGTGCCAAACAGTTTCTTTCATACCGATATTCGCCCGTTGAATCTAGGGCGGCGCGAGGAAGTTGACCAAGCGCGTCGGCAGAGTGATCATTGGCCGAGTCGGGACAGCATGGGTTGTTTGCATACAGATGTTATTTTGGTGGGCTCGGACGACGATCGACGTGTCAGGAGGTCATTGTCCTCTGGAGTCGGTGCTTCGGCTTCGCACCTCGCGGCATGGAGCAGGGCAGATACGTTTCCGTCTCATCCAATGCGGCGGGATCGCACTTCCATTCGGGAGCAATTTCCATCGGGGCGGAGGTTTGCGTCAGGAGTCAAGGAATCAGAACGCACGCCGCGGGCTGCTGCCCGCGCTCAAAAAAAAAAATGCTGGAGCGCACGCCGTGGGCTGCAGGAACGCTCGCGCTCGGTCAAAACCGCAGTGCTGGAGCACACGCCGTGGGCTGCAGGAGCGCTCGCGCTCGGTGGAAACGCAGTGCTGGAGCGCGCCATTGGTTCCCGGCATGGGCTGCTGGCACGCTATCCCTCGTAGAAAGTGCGCGTTTGAGCGACAGTCCGTCTTGGAAGCTCTACACACCAAGGCGGGGGAAGGGAGACGGCGTTGCTAGCCTTGCACTCGCGCCTCGCACTCAAACGGAGCCCGTTGATTAAACGCCCTGCCACATCGCGTATGCGCTGCTGTGCCGGACTTGACGACATGGCGCGCTGTCAAATCACGACGGTTGAGTCGAACGGCCTACAGATGCAGCGAGGATCAGAACTTGACGTTTCCTCTAAACCACATCCGATGCATCAATATGCTCGTTGAAACCTCGCTAGCCGCAATGTTCCACTGGCTGTAGTTCATCCGTTCCAGCCTTGAGGGTGCACGAGCCCTTGTGGTGAACCACCCCCGCCCCCTCTCAGCAGGTCCCAAGAGCTCTCAAGATGACCCCAATGCCTTCCAAGATGTCTTGAAAGGTTCCCAAACGACTTCGAAAGAGCCCACGAGGGCCCAAGGGGCCACGCGAGAGCCCCAATAGGACACGTCTGGCCGAGCCAACAGGAACTAAATAATCATTGCGGTTTTTGATGATCCGAGCGCGTCCACACTGTTCGCTGAAATATAGTTCCGAGTGGGCGTCGGAGAATCCAAAGAGGACCCACAAGGGCCCCAAGATGCCCCAGGACTGCCCCGCGAGGGCCTCGAAATGACCAAGGAGAGCCCTCGGAGGAGCCCACTACAGCCCAGGAGGGCCTCCAAAGGGGCATAAGAGTGCCCACAAGCGCCCGAGTTCTCCCACGTGGGCTCCAAGATGAACCCTCGCGAGCTCAAGAGTGCGCACGATGACCCCCTAGATGGCTTCAAGAGGCCACACGAAGGCCACTGGAGGACTCCGCTACGGGCCCACAGGGCCCCAACCTTCCCTCCCTCCCTCCCTCCCACCCCCGCCAGCCCAAGGAGCGGAGCCAACGAGTTTGCCAACGTGTTGGCCCACACATCGGTCTCTTGTTGCTGCGAAACAATTGGCAACCCCCCCCGCCCTCATCAGCGGAAACTACAACGCTTCCGGCACCAGGGCTGTGACGGAAGCGAGATCCCCCGCATAGTTCTCCTCCTCCTCCTCTTCCTCCTCCTCCTCGTCCTCCTCCTCTTCTTCCTCCTTTCTCTCATTCATCACTTGAAGGCCTCCGGAGGTTTTCGGAGTTTCCTGGAGGCAATTTCCAATTGGGTTGCATTGGTATTATCTTGGTGTGTCGACGTTACTTGCTTAGGCCTCTCGAAGGCCTTTCCCATCGGCGAGCGTCGAAAAAGATAGAAATCTTATGTGTTTCATCTTATGTGCTGACGAAATCGCAGGGTGGGGTACTGTTTCCTTCCTAGGGGTATGTTCCCATGACTGCTGCACTCCGTCCTTCGTCAGCTCGGCTGTCTCCGCGCCTCTCCCCCCCCCAGTGGCAGAGCAAGCTGAAGAGTCTGAAGGACGGCTTCGCGAACGCGAACGACCTGGTGATCCGCGCGTACCCTCGCACGTCTTCCGCGCGCTGCTCTCGTCCCCCCTTTACCTTCCCGCCTCCCCTCCTTGCCACCGCAGGCTCGCATTGTTGTCCACTGCCGCCGGACTCCGTGTTGGGAATCGCCCCGCCACCTGACTCTTGAGAAGAGCCCACGGGGAGCCAGACTCGTCCTTCCCCTATCCGACTCCCCTTCCTCTCACTCCTCATCCTCCTTACTTTTCTCCCTTCTCCTCCTCCTCTTCCTCCTCCTCTTGCTCCTCCTGGTCCTCTCCCTGCCCGCGCACCACCGCTGTTCGAGCCTCCGCTTGCGCTGTCAGGTACGTCCTCTCCGCGGACGAGCTGTGCCCAAACTCGGGCAGCAAGGACATCACCTCCTTCGTCCGGCAGGGGAGGCGGCACTGGAGACGTACCGACGACGGTTGTTCACGAGGACGACGACCAGGAGGCCGACGATAGCTCAACGCGTCGGCGACGACTGCCACTGAGGTTTGCCGCGACGACGACAACGACGACGACGAGGAGGAGGAGGAGGAAGAAGAAGAACAGGAGGAGGAGGAAGGAGAAGGAGGAGGGGGCAGAACAAGGAGGAGGAGGAGAGGATGGGAGGGGTGAGAGGAGAGCGTGGATCCAAAAAGACCTGACACAGGAGAGAGGGAGACGGGTACCGAACGTCGGGCGAAGCAGCGATGAGCCCCCTCCGAGGGCTCCGCTTTCGATGTTCGGTTTAGGACGGCAAAGTTAATTTGCTTCTAGAAGGCCAAGATATGAGGCCTATGCCAGATACCGTTTTCACTCTCTAGCCACAAGCGTCTATAGACACATTGCATGTTGCTGCATGTAAAGACACCGTCGGGGTGGATACGTCTATAGACAACGCGGCCGTTGCGTTCGGCGCAGTACAAGATCGGCGAAAAGGTAGAACCGTGTACGGTATGCCCCTGCTCTAAGACAGGTCCCAAATGGTACTCCAGTTTCGGTTCAGCGGTTCGGTCCTGCTGAACAGAATGATGGGCTTGGGGTGAGGCTCTCGTGGTGGCCTGCGAGGCAGAGCGGGGTGGTGCCTGCCTGGGATCAACGGGAGGGATGTGCTTGCAGCCCCATGCGGAGTTCGCAAGTTGGGGGGGTAGCTTGGTGCGAGACGCTCCCGTGTTGCTGTGGTGGGTCAGTTGGTACAGCAGGGTTCCCTGCGGCCTGTGTCGCAGCTCGGAGACAGCCATCCCAGCGAGCGCTCCCCAGAATTTCAGAATCATCCGAACGCAGATCAAGGGGCAACCGAGATTAAGTCTTTAGAACCCCTCCCCATGAGCGGAAACATATCATATTGTCGGCGGCCTTATTTTGCCGGACTGGGGTCCCACCAATAGTGGCAAATAGTTATTTCTCCGCGGCACCGGCGACGAGATGAAGGAGGAGATTGTGAGTAACGCTTTCGGCGAAGAATGTGTCGATCTGTCATGCAATCTTCTTACAAACGTGGTCAAAAATCTTCTGTCGTGCAGGACAGCCTAGGGAGCATCATTCCCTGGCAGAACAAACCCCCAACATTATCCAGCCCGCCCAAAAATAGAGGATAAATAATCTCCGCCGCGACGACGACGACGACGACGATTACGACTAAGACTACGATTACGACTACGAAAGCGATTTCAACCACGACGACGAGTACGATTAAAATCGCGACTACAATCCCGATTACAACCACGACTACAATCACGACTACAACCACAACCGCTAATTCACATTTCAATCCTCATGAGAAGATGCACACATCCTCTCGCGTGTAGGGTTGCCCACAATGGGTTCTTCCTTGGGAGAAAGAAACACACCACAATATCCAGCCCGCCCAAAATAGATGGAAAGTAATCTCCGCCGCGGCGACGACGACGACGGCTACGATAACGACCACGAGGAGGAGCAGGAGGAGGGGCAGGGGCAGGAGCAGAAGGAGGAGGAGTGGGGCATGAGGAGGAGGAGGAGGAGGAAGAGGAGGAGGAGGAGGAGCGGGAGCAAGAGGAGGAGGGCGAGTTTGTTCCCCGCCAGGAGAAACAGGGGGGGACCAACAACTAAAGACCTCCCGAGGTTACCTGAAAGACAACTGCGCTGTTCGGTACGGTCGAAATGGTCGCGGGAAGAATTGGAACGACGATTGACAGGATTCGTTGCTGGCGTCACCGCGGAAATTGCCCGCTTGAGATAGCACGCCGCCTGCCCAACAGCGGCCGCTTCGCTGTCAGTTTTGGAACACATTCCTAGACATCTGACGAGATTTTGTTTCGTCCGCGGCACCGGAGGTCCCGACCTCTTCCTTGGGGGCAGTTGCTTGTCGCGGGTCCATGTTTGATGGTCCTTGGGCCCAGTAGCGTTCCCCAGATGCTGACCAGATGCCGAAATCAACGATAAACGCCCAGATTGGGAGGGCGAGGGGGTGGAGGATGAGCACGAGGAGAAGAAGAGGGCAAGAAGTAGTAGGAGGAGGAGGAAGATGAGGAGGAGAGAGGAGAGAGGAAAGTGTAGGAGGAGGAGGAGGAGGAGGAGGAGGAGGAGGAGCAGGAGGAGGAGGAGGAGGAAAGAAGAGGAGGAGGAGGAGGAGGAGGAAACGGAGGAGGAGGATGAAAGGGCGGAGGAGGAGGAGGAGGAGGAGGGAGGAGGGAGGAGGAGGAGGAGGACGAGGAGGATCAGGAGGAGGAGAGGGTCAATGTCTTTGGACAGCATAAACTTAAACTGCGGGAGGTCCGCACGGATTTCTTGGCTCGGTGCTTGGCCCCCCTGGCGAGGGAGAGGGTCAAACGCCGATCCGAGAAATCCGCGCGGACCTCCGATCTCGACCGCATTTCGTCTCGGCGTGTTGTCTGATGGTCCTGGGGCACAGAAACGGCTCCTGGACGCCAAGAATTGCGAAAGATCTCCCTCTCGATCTTCCTTTAGCACTGAAGCCAGGATCCGTCCCCCAAGAATGGAATAAATATGTGTGCATATATATATATATATATATATCCGCTTGTGTTTAACAAAAACAGCTCCGATCACAACAAGAACAAAAGATAGTATGTGACCAAAACTTCTCTACATAATCGATCCGATCGATCTTGCCCGATCGATCCGATCGATCGAACCCAATAGATCCTGCCGATCGACTCGGTTTCCACTTCGGTCCGACGATCCTGCCGATGTTCGCATGGCGTTGTCGTGCGTGATTACTGGTGCAGCCGATCCGGTTCGAGTTCGACGCCGTGCCGATGCAGCCCGATCCGGCGCGCATTCCGATTCAACCCGATGGCCCGATTCGGCGCTGCCCCGGCTCGGCCCACGGTCAGGGCGGAAGTCTCCGGTGGGCGGCGCACGAAGGAAACAGCGACGGCCTGCTCTGCTTGATGTCTTCGGCCTCCTTGGGGGGCCTTCTCCTGGCCCCCGGACCGTCCACAAGACGACGGCTCGGGATGGACAGCCCGCGTGGCGCGCGGCCAGCGGCCCCGACACCCGTCGGTGTGGTTGTTCCCGCGCGCGGCCCCTGGAGGGCCCGGCCCCTCCCCCGGGTCGGGGGCTGTTGAAGGTGCCCTTGGCCCCCAGGGTGCCCCCAGCTTTTCGCTCACCTTCGGAGTTCCTGAGGCCCTCGTGGCCTCGTGGGGGGTGCTCCGGAGGCCGTGGGGGCCTCCCTGGAAATCCTGGGGGCACGCTGGGCCAGGGGTGCCTGTACGACCACCCTTCGGGTGAGAAGGAGGTTTGGGGGGGGAGGGAGCACCAACTGACGACAGCTTCGATGATTTTGATGGCGACGAGACAGCGACGATAGCACGATGATGTTGACGTTGAGAATGCATACTGGCGATTGTAGTGAAGGCGACACAGCCGTGATCCGCGCGGGCCGCAAATGCTGCAAGTGCAACGCACAGGCAGGGGAGAGTTCCACGAACGCCGCTCTGGAGCCCTCGCCGTACTTCAACCGCTGCACCTGCTTCCGCGACCCACCATGTGGAGCACCCCGCTGGCAGAGCCTGGCGGCAAGGGGGCACGCGGAGGCAGGCACGCGTCACCCGCTGACATCACGAAGCGGCGGTGGAGCTGATTGTGCCATCGCCGCGTTGACTGCAATGCTTGGGATGCTCGCTCGAGCGGCCTCGATGTCTTCGTCGACTTCCCATCGCTCCCACGGTAGACGCACAAACTTCACAATCGATGTCACAAACGACCTCACACGAGATCCCACCATCGACCCCTATGTCGATCTCACGATAGATCTCGTTATCGAAGTCTAAATGTCTCTGTTAATCTCCCTGTGGATTCCACTATCGATCTCACCATTGATCTCAGAATCGGTCCCACAACCGATCTCACTATCGATATCACAATCGATTTCACATACAAATTCCACGGTCGATATCACTATTGACCTCACGATTGATATCACTATAGATTTCATAATCGATCTCACTATCGGTATCATTGTCGCTCCACCGACGGGGCACCCCCAGCCACCGACGGGGCATCGGTATCACAATCGATGTCACCGCAGATCTCCCGATCGATCTCACTATTGCTTTCACGATCGATATCACTATTGATCTCACGATCGATCTCACTATCGATCTCAGTATCACGTCACCGACGGGGCACCCCCCGCCACAGACGGGGCACCCCCGCACCACCGACGGGGCACCCTCGCACCACCAGCGGAGCACCCCCGCACCACCGACGGGGCACCCCCGCACCACCGGCGGAGCACCCTGGGGACGGGGCGGTCAGACGAATCCACGGCCCCTCGCCACGGCGGCATCATTCCTGTCGTGCGCCTACTTAGCTTCGCCTCGCCCGCCCGCACGACACAAACACGAAACCGAAACCGATTTCCTGGTGGGGGGCTCTCCGTTCCATCGCGATTTCACCCCCCAACCTCCGACTTTTAGCAACACACGGCCAGGGGTGGTTGATCGTCCCGGATCCTCTCCTCATGGTCCCAGGGCCCAGTAACGCTTCTGGGAAAATCGCCCGGATTGAAAAAGTTCATACCCTCGGACATATGGGGTTCAAGGAGGCAGGGCGCATCGCCGACGCATCGGCGCTGCCGCTCGATGTGTAGCCCGATTTTCTTCACGCCGACGTCGGCGATGCATCACCGACATCGCCCATGCATCGCCGATGCATCTTCAAGGAAGGGGCCGAGATCCCCGCAGGGCCCCCGTCACCAGACCGGGTGCGGCGTCAGAGGACAGGGTTCGCCGTTGCCGCGTGCCCACCTTCGGTGACCTCCATCCTCGTAGCCACGGCCAGAGCCGCCTCGGGGTCCCGGCCACGGCGCACTCTGGGAGAGGCACAGGAAGCCCGCGGTGTTTGGCAGCCCTGCCTACGTTTGATCACCACCAAGGCTGCTGAGGGGACAGGAG